CCCCAAAACCCCAAAACCCCAAAACCCCAAAACCCCGTGCGGGTAGATTTGGATTGAAAATATGAATAAAATATGTAAAAAATGTGCTCTAAGCCCTATTCTGGTGATTTATTTGACCGAAGTCTTACCTCCATTACCCTAGCAGCCAAAGCTGCTAGGATTTATGAAAGTAGAATTTAGAAGGGCCAAATGGAAAGAAAACTGAACAGGAATTTTAGAATTTATATTCCAAGTTTAAACAGTTGCGGTGTTTTATTCCTGAAGGAATTTCTTTGAGGGTCTTCTTTGTGCTCTTCATCAGGCAATAAATTGATTTTTGAAGCTTGATCGGTGAAATGGATTTCAAGTGGAGGCTGTGTCTATGTATTAAGTGTGAAGAGTACTTTTGGAAGGAAATTGGGGAGATCAAGAATAGATCGAACTAGAAGTTAAAGAGAGATTTACTGTCTTTTTCAACTTCATTCTCATCTATTGATCTTAGTTTCTTTATCAGAGAATCAATGTATTGTTCAGTTTTTAGTGATGTATCTTGATCACGTAAAGGTATATCATCTAAATGCTATTAAAAATCTCGATTACTAAATCTGTCAGTAAAGATATGGATTAGCTGGCTTTGTCCTTGAGTACTAAAACTCAGAATTTTCTGTTGATGCTCTTTTAGCATTAGTTTCATGATGACCTTGATGGCTCTAATTGAATGGATGATCTCCACTACATCTAACTCTTGGCTAAAATGTCAATTGTCTCTTACCTGAACTTGTCACTCAGCTCTTCAAACTCTCGTTTTGGTTTGTTCAAGAAGAATGGTAGTAGAGTTTTACAGTAATCCGAACGAGTAAACTTAACTCTTCTAGTCATCATAAGGTGAGCCTTCAAGTCCTCATGGTAATTATCAGAGAGATTATTTAAAAGAAGCAGGAGTCTCATTTGTCGAACTATTTTCCCGGACATTTAAAGGCTTTATTGTCTCATTTTGATTAGAAGATCTTTTCAAACTTCCTTGGCTATTCTTCGGAAGCACTACATTTTTATTTAAATTTAAATTTCATTCTTTCTTAGATATGTCCGAAATGTAAAGGAAAGAAAATAAGGAAGTCAAGAAATACTTCTCGCTAAAGTTATTAGTAAGGAATAGCCCTGCTTGGAGGAGTAAGCCAAAGACTCCACCAATGTTGCCAATAACATCAAAGAATGAGAAGATTGTTCTTTCATAATATAAAACCTGAGATTCTTGATAAAAATTAATTTGAAGTAATTGGTTGGCAGTAGAATCGACGGTCCTAAATCTTGATATAGTTTCTGCAACTCTGTAGAATTTACTCTTGTCGCTCTGGCCGAATTGAAAGAAATAATTTATATCCTCAACCTCATGTTTTTGGATATAATAATCTTGGGTTTTTAAAAATCCTGTATCAAGATGAGAACCAAATTTCGACTCAAAAGTAGTTTTGATAGGGTTTTCATAATCATTAAAGTCAAAGTATTTACTGGTAAAACCCATCAATAGCTCAGTTGTTTTTAACTTTTGCTCTATTTCTGCTGGAGTCTTGCATACGACTGAAGATGTCCCATTAACGCACTTGGAAACACTTAGTGTCATAGATTTCTCGATATCTGAAAAAACACTTCCTCGAACTGTAAAGTTATAATTATCTAGTCATTTAGTATTATTCTTCAACAGATCTCTGATCCCACTAAAGGCTTCATCAATAATAGGATATCTATCATTTCAAGTTGAGAATGATCTTTCTTCCAGCTCAGTTCTTCGAACCCCTGTACTAAAATTGTAATAATTTGTCTGCTGAACGACTGAAATTGTTATATATGATGGGTCAAAATGCCTTTCATAAGTATCTGTGTCCCTTGTAATAAATGTAAACACAAAAGTATCTTTATCAAGGTCATAATCTTCAGGATAGTTCTGAATATCTTTGTATACTCTATTTAATGACTTTGAGGTTTCCTGTTTCCTGAACATAATCACGAATAGTCTGACAGAATAACAAATGATTATAGCTGTAATTATCAGACTGAATATTCCTCCACACAAGGTCTGGAAGGAGGACTTACCTCTATAGGTAAGACTTACTTTCTGAGGAAAAAGGTCAGATTTTACGATTGAAGTCCGAAGAAAAGACGCTACTTTCTTCATAATATTTAATTTAATTATTGACAGCTAAGGATATTTATTGGGGTTTTGGGGTTTTGGGGTTTTGGGG